TGGTGGGGTACCTAGTGGCTTTGAGGATGATCTGCGCTGTAGACGAATAGGATGGAGTGGGTCTGGTTGAAACTTTGCAAGGGAAACGTCCATGTTTCGGATAGAGGACGGTGAGATTGAACCCTTGCCTGCGGGAGATGGAGCTAATGAAGCAAATTTGGAGAATGGATTTAATTCAGAGGAGGAGTGGTGATTGGAGTGATTGCACGAGACTTGTAGGGGTTAATTCGTCGTACCTAGAAATAATCGAAGAACTCACTTTCAAATCATCGACTATACTCTTGAGAGGAGCTGGCGTGCTACCGATAGATCGCGATGAAGCATGTCTGAATGCTGGAGGACGACCGCCCAGGTCCTGGATAGCTGCTGTTGTACCTACCTCTCGAGCATAAATATCTGGAGTAGGAGGGCTACTTTCACCTGGAACTGCAGTCGTTGGTAAGAATAGTGAAGCGATGATGACACGGTGATTTCGTAGTGAGCTCATGATTGTTCGTGATCAGAGCTTGTTATCCGTAGCAGTGTCCTCATAAACAAGATCCCAAATCGTCATGATGCTCCATCGATCCATCTGTTTTCCACACGGCGTAATCATTGTGTCACAACGAACGTGCCACCAAACCGACAACACCCGGGTTCCTTCTATTTTTGGCAAGTCTCGATGTCGTCCATGAAATGTGCGTTCTCGGATAGAATCGGTCATGGTCGTGCCAGAGACGCATTCGAGTTCGTGGTACTTAAGGTCTACGTGGCATGTATAAAATCTATCTAACTCCCTTACCACCCGTGAGAATCAGGTTATTTTGTTGCTGTCAGGGCAATCGCACCTCTCTTACTACTCTTAGCATCTGCATCACGTATCGAACAGCGTACCTTCACGCGGAATGTTCGCCAGCAACCAGGGATGTCATGTGGCTCGAACATTTTGTGGTCTCCAATGTCTATCACCCCAACTACGTTCCTTACAACTCTCGAGTCTAAGTACTTCCGGCACCAAACTGGCAATACATGTTGCGGCTTGTCCATGGCCCCATGCGATCCATCGTGGGTTCCACTTCATGCTTAGTACTTCCACCACTCAGCTTATGACGAATGGCAGATCGTGGCTGAAGCGCTGAAGATCGAAAAAATATTCCATCGTATCCGCTGCCCTCGATGCAGTTCGCAAACGATAGTTAGCTTACTTGTCAGTCTATGTTCCTGTAGCATGATGACATTTCTTGACTATTGCAAGTCACCACCGATCTCAGTCCGAAGACTCAATCCAGAATATTGATACTCGTGTCGTCAATAATACACGGCATCGCAGCGTCAACTTAGGTGCCTCACAAGGACAACACACAACATCTATCTCACTTATATCATAAGCATGCTGCCCAGTGTAGTGTTCTACACTGTCGATCAAGTTTTTGAGGGAAGGCTGGGATCTGGAAGGCAGGGTACCTTAGTCCGAGTCTGGGCTTCCACAACTAGTTCTTGAAAATCCTTCCGGACGCAGACTGGCGCATCAGAGAACCTGAGAGAAGAAGATATCATCATATATCGTAATATATAGGAAAGGTTTTCGTCACATTGTAATATAAAGTGATATAAAGCAATATGACCATGTAAAAGCACCATAATCAGCATAATCCCCAGCAAGAACTCACCGGTTTACTGATGGGCTCCGTAGTGCGAACCCTTGATTCGCTTGACCCAAGACTCACCTGTCCGCTCTTCTATCCCATTTCGAATTGAGTAATCTTATCTTGATTGATGATTCGAGCTGAATGATGTTATTCCAAGTCACTGTTTGTCAGACCTCAGGACGCTTCTCATGACGTGGAGATCTTGTTGGTTCAGTCATCCATGGAGCTGAACGCCGCCCGACATAGCGATGTCTATTTTTTGTAGAAAATGTCACACTTCACACGACTACTCAGGAATCCACGATTATATTCAATCACCGAGGTCATCGCTCGCTTCTCACGATTCTAATCTTTCCAGTTTACAGTCAGTCGTACTTGATTTTCATCCCACGAGGGCCGCCCAGCATGTGATACGTCACCGTGCTACAACTGCTTTTTACAACGAGATACCGTGCTATGCATTGCTTCCCTCGTCGAAACGGAAAAACCTGGCTTCAACATATAACCAAAATAAAGGCGCATCATAATTCAACAGCCGCCACACGTACGTGCATTATTTCTTGACATCATGATAACCAATGATCGTCCCTGCGTTTTCGCCATCTCGAAAATTATCTCAGTCGCACCCTTTCCAAGTCACCTTGTGCTCATATCAATCTTTTCAGTCCTAATTGCCACGACACCCAACAACAACGCTACTCCGACCCACCAGGGGCAAGTGAATGGCATTTCTTCTCAAGGCTGGGAACTGACACTAACCAAGTGTACACCGCTTGCGGGATCTGGTAATTCGCTCTGTTTTCTACCAGTAATTTACGAGACTGTGAACTTGAGAGAAATAAAACATGTTCTAATGGAGGTCGAGCATTTCTGACACACAGCAGCGCGCGCTGGGATTAAAATAGTTCTAGGCGGCACATTGAACGACGCAGTTCAAAGGCTCACGGTCATGGATAAATCGATGATGGATTTCAGTGGACATTCCACACCAGAAAGAAACACGTGCCAACTACATAGTACCATTGTTGGTGGGGTATTATTTATTACTTTCGGAATAAGATAGGCGGTGCAACTTGAAAGAGCTTCATCCGGAGATAGATGGGGTCGATTTAGATCTCATCAGCTGAGTACTTATTTGATTTCTGGAGAGCGCTCCTGATTGTCAGCTTTTCACAAGTTGGTTTGATGACCCGAAACCAGGAACCGCGCAGCTAGTCTCCCGACCAGCACTCGACCCTGAACTATCAGCGTTATCGTCCAATCTTTTAGCAGCCGGTCATCACAGACCACCCGCCTCGACACACCCTCACCATTGTTATCCACCCAATCCCTGGCCATTGTCTGATCTGATGATGAGACCAGAATCGATATTCTTCCATATTCGTAGTATTATCCCCTGAGGCCTGAACCGGCAGTTTTCAACCCAAATTCCACAGATGAGTGCCTTATATTATCAAAGAACACAATGCAAATGCGACCAGGGATTTTGTATCTGATCGTAACTACTTTACCTTGCGCTGCCGCGTCATATACTACCGCTGTCTCTCAGTTACAGAAACGGACAGTGCGGGGCTAAGTCTGGGGTCTGCAGTCGCTCGGCTCAATTCGGCCGGAGTTTACATTCTCTCAACAATATTCTGGCCTGTCGGAGCCCTCCAAGCATAGATGCGCTTGCCTATTACCGCAAGATCTTGGTGTAAGAATTGTCCGCCTCCGTCGTGGACGCTGGAGTCACAGGTCGCTCTGAGGCATCTTATTGGCAAATGTGGGATCACTAGCCAGCGACGTAGCGGATGCATTAAACAAGCGGCAATTACATAACAGCCTCCTTCCGGTTTCATGGTGACATTAAAAGTGGCAACATGTAAGCTGCATACACAATGTATGCTCCTGAAAGGGATTCGAGGCTAGCAAGGCATGACAAAACAGCTAGAGTCTCCCTAACCTCATTTACAAGAAGAAAAAGCGAAATGGCAATGGACTTATCACGCAAAGTTCTTGCTTGCTGAGAGATGAACGAGGTCTTCATTTCTGCTGTAACTGAGACCGCGGTAATGCTCGTACCGAGGGAGCGGTAGTTATAGACGACTTGTGCTATTCCAGTCAGCCAAATATTGAGTCATAGCTGGACAGATAGGAACACAATCGTTTGCCTGAAGGCACTCCTCCCAACTAACTCGGATGTCAGGCCTTCAGGGATTAATCGAAACAAAATACACGATCCGAAACAAGTGTTTTGGGTCTGGTTCTTTCACGAACTTGGATCCCTGTAGCAATTTGAACAACGGATCAACTCGAGCCACGTATGCGTTGACAACCGACTCCAAAAACTTCAGCTGATATTCATGTGTCCAAAACACGACTTTACGCCCTCTTCTGTGGAGCATAAAAGAGACAGCACCAACAATCAAGTTGCCATCAATATCTCCACAAGTGAAATCAACTCACCATCATGTTTATCCGCCTCTCTACTGTTTTCGCTGTTCTCATCGGCTTGACGGCCTTTGTAAACGCTGGAGTGCCAGTAAGCCTCACGACCCATTTTATCTCACCTTGTTGAGCTTACAAATGTGCATAGGCCAATTATGTAGCACTTGCGCGCGTAAGCCTTTTTTCACACTGAATCTCATCTCAAACTCACCATATATCGTATAGGAAGAGTCTTCTGAACCATTTCAGCGCTCACCAGGACAACAGCGTGTTAGGCTTCTTTCGCATTGAATATTTCAGCTTAACTTACCAAGTGGTTGACTCACGGCACATTGTACACAGGAAACTTCTATGCACTTCCAGACTATTATGAAGAACCAGTTACAAGGGACCCTCGATTTAGAATAGTGCTCACAACAAATTGAACGCCAGGTGTATTGCGTCGGAGTGTACGCGTCTATCGAGCATGTGTGAAGCTCCGAAGTCCATCAGAGACAAGTATTTGCACGCATAGAAAACACTGCTCAAATGATACGGGGATGATCACTGAGTAGAAATAGAAGGCACGGAAATATTGACGCACAAGCATGTATATTAAATAGTTCAAAAAACCCGTTTTCTACGATGGAGACCAAGAGACGATCTCGCTAAAGTGCTAGAGAACCTAAGTCACGGTGGAGTTTCATCTGATTCGGACGAGCATGACTTACCTCTGACAACATTTGGTGTCTTGCATGGCGACGAGACAACACAAGGTCATGGTCTCGTCCTACCCTAGTGAGAATGGCTGATTTCTGCTCGAGTCGATACTGATGCATAGTTCAATGTGAGCAGGCATGTACCGGGAGGTGACAATCATATATTTTGCGCCGATGACTGTAGATCATAAGGATCATGAAAGGAGTACGAAGGTGGTATGCAGCGACTCAACTTCAAGTCATCAGACATGCTGGTGTAATAAAGGAAAACGAGGATCAAGGACGTGCCAGGTGCAGTGATGAGTGATGAGTATGAAAAGACGGGGGTCGGAGAAGAGGTGGGTGGTCCAGGTCTTGTGGCGCATGTATTTCCATGGCATTTGTATGTTTGACACAATAGACATGTGATTATACAAGCGCTGAAACGATGGCCGACTTGAGAATGTTAGCGGAAGAGTCTGTACATGCTGCAGAAGCGAGCAACGTCAAGGTCAGTCATCACCGGTAGTAGCACGCCAGGTCCAAAGGGAACATGCGCATCCTGCGAGGCTTGCTACTCCTGTACTTTCATAGCTGAGTCGTACTAAGGTGAGATGTGTATTTCATACTAGTAGATACTGTAGAAACAATATAAACTGCTGAAAGGACGCGCAACAAAGTGGAAACACCAGTGAGGGTCCGTGAGAGCATGTCAGAAGGGATAGCAGAATGCAACGGACAATGTTAATAACGATGAGGAATATGATTGAGATCTGGAACAACAGTTAGAATGAGCTTCAAGTCGCTACACACCTAATACTATACAAACGCTGCAAAGGTGGTCAGCGGTCACGGTTCAAAACCAACAGAGGCAAGCTCAAAATTCCTTGGACAAGATTCAGAACGCAAACGAAAAAAAAAAAAAGACACCAGAAGTGCCTCGTAAGCTTGAGGCTTACGAGGTGCAGCGTCCATGGCCAGTAATACTAAGTGTTTGTCGTTGATGAGTCGGTGCCAGTGGCATCACATAAGCAACACGGTCACGGGAGTTGGACTGAATAGGAAATTGAATTCTAACCTTGTCCGAGGATGACACGGATAGGTGGCCACCTCAAGGAACCGCGAGTCGATGTCCATCTATTTGGTGATTTCCTGTACATTACATCTTCCCCTCATCCAAGCCCACAAGTCCTTGGCCAAAATGTCATCACGATCATCCGGTGCCAATGATATAGTCAAATCCGGCAGCGATCAAGTTTCCTGAACATTCATCAATCGTCCTTCAATACAGTTGGTTGCATCCTCACTTTTCAAATTGACATTCTTTTCTAATTCCTCTGTCCAGGCAAGATTATCCTGCCCCCGTTATCAGCTCTCGTATAGAATCATTCGGTTCTTCTTAGCGTGCCGTCTTCAGTGGTTTTAACATTGTTCACATTACCATATGAAATACACTCGATTCTACATCTCGCCGAGGTGTGCTGACAAGTAGTATGATACAAGTCCAATTACTCTGAGACTCGCTCAACCTCGGCTGTCCACTTTCGCT